AGTGGTTGCGACTACCTCCTCCTCCACCTCGTCCTCCTCCTCCTCCTAGCTTATCAATGAATGTCTTGGGTCTGGGTTCTCCACAGCCTCTTGAGATGAATGAACGAATCTGCTAAAAAATACGAAAAACAACATATGTAATGTAACAAATATAATGTATCGATAAAGAACAAAAGGCACAATATCGTGACTGGAACAATACACAAATAACACGCACATAGGAGAGAGAATCTTACAACGACGTTTCGGTTCGACTTGGACCATTTACAAAGTCACACTAATATTAGAACAAGGTCACAGACAAGACTCATTGAACTACAGACCTTTTCCATGGCAGCCATACTGTCCACGAAAATCGAAAAGATAATCAGATTGGATAATGCGCAAGCACCTGAAGAACGAAGAACTGATATAGACAGCCATTTTAGATTTAAAGGATAAAAGTCCTGTCTTATAAACACACTCGAGTTCTGTTCCAGAGTGACAGAGAAAAATAAGCGAAGAGAAGGTTAGATGGACTGCATATTTCTGGAATGTAAAAAAGGCATTTGTTTCTGTACCACACCAGAGACTGATTCACAAAATAGACGAGCAAGATAGAAAGAAACGTAAAAGATTCTATCTTATTTTCCGGCATATAAGACTCGCTATTTTTTTCCACAGAAAGTCTTCAAAAATTACCCTGTGCCTTATATGCTCAAGGTCAAGGTTTGGGTTAGGCTTCAGCGTAAAGTAAGAGAGTAACCCTTGAAAATGATTACTGATTTACCGTTTTGATAATTCTGTCGTGCGCCTTATATGTCGAAAAACAAGCTATTTAGCAGCACGGAAAAATAAAGAAGAAACAAGCTGGTGAAACTAGGACAACCGCAGCTCACCATGTATATCAGTAGCAAAATACATCCGACAAGAATGCGAATGGAAAACAATATGTGGTTTATGGCATTTACTGAGACGTTTCGTTATCAGGGTCGAAACATCTCCATAATAGGTGTTATAAACTACACATTGTGTCTTATTCAAACAAATATTCCTCGATATGCAACACATGCCTTATCTCCCTGAATAAAAGAGTGCTGATGCTCAATTCTGATTTTGTTTAAAGACTCTTATTGACAAGCTCAATACTTCATTACCTGTGAAGTCTGTAGACACCGATGAAGTTATTGAAGAATTATGAAAGAAAGGTAGAAGAGAACATACGTGAATAACAAGAAACTTACGAACAAATAAATGAAACAGGTGTGCGATATGTACATAAAATCTCCTCTTTGAAGTGACTCTGTTTGACTTCTGAAGTGGAGTGTCTAGTTGAAGATCGTTTAACCCTAGTTTAGATAAAACGTGTTTATGTTTTACCTTTGCTCAGGCTGTGATGTTGCTTTGTTTCACAGCAAGAAGAGGGCTGTTTATCAGCGTTTTAGTTGTTGAAATTGAGACCAGTAATAGTAGTAGTAGTAATAGAAGTAGTAGAAGTAAGAGTGATAGTAGTGGTAGAAGAAGTAGTAGTAGCAATAGTATAAGTAATAGCAATAGTATAAGTAGTAGTAGCAGTATTAGTAGTAGTCATAGTAGTTGTAATAGCAGTAATAGCAGCAGAAGCAGTTGTAGTCGAGGTAGTAATAGCAAAAACATCATTATAATTGTAGTGGTAATAGCAGTAGTTGTAGTAGTAATGTTAATAGCAATAGTGGCAGTAGAAACAGTAGTAGTAATAGCAACAGCAATATTATAAATAAAACTAACAGCATCAGTAGTATAATTACTAAAACCAATAGTATTTATTATTGCAAAAAAAAAAAAATATATTATGAAAATCAGTGATATCAATATTACCTTCAATATTATTATTGACTCTTTAAGATCATTACCCTACGTAAGATGCCCTCCTCCCTAATCCCATAATATCCTCAGTTATCTTCTGAGAAAATATCCTCAGCTCCGGGGGGAGAGCTGAGACAATATCAGGAAGATTCAACATTCTATAGATTATGCAGAGCCTTTATCAAATTATTGTCTGACAGATAAATTATGCAAATCCTTCTAAAGACTTACTTAAAGCTATTACCAATTAAAATCACTTCACAAATTAAATAAATGTAATAATGTAATGGAGTTATTATTTTTTTAATTACTTGTACAAATACAGAGAGTTATGTTCGAGTGGATTTTCAAACAGTTACAAATTTTCTACTGCTAAAAACACCTGACATATCATGGTTTAAATTGTGGTAATAGAAGGTTATTGAATTACAAAATTGAAAGTATTTTGATAAATTATATATTAGTGTGCATATAAGTGTTAATTTATACCTCAAAAAGGACATTTAATACATACACAAGAATATACATATATAACAAGTAAACTAACACAGACGAGCACTCAGTCTACTGGGTAGACAATTAGCTATTAAGGCCTTCCACACTGTTACCCCACTCCTTCGTCAGGAGCTATGCTGTGAAGAAATAAGTAATTGTAGCAGAAAATTCTTAGAGGACAGTAGAGTATGTGGTGGGCGCCATGTTCAGTCTCTGCGCCATGTTCCGTCTCTCGAGAGTTTGAACATGGTGCCTGCCACATCAGCGTAGCTGCTGAAGAAGTACTGGGGTCAGCACGAAAGGCCTTGAGTGAATTTTTCATTCCCTTGTGGCTTATTTGAATACACCCATTCATCCACACACATACACACACACACACACACACACACACACACACACACACACACACACACACACACTACCTTATGTGTACACACACATGCCCTCACTCTTATCTCTGGTAGGCCTAAGCAGCTAATAAATAGTAATCTATTTTAAAATTTCCATACAAATCAGTGCCTGCCTCTCCCCACATTGATAATAACAAAGAAAAAAGAAACAGACTTTTAATCACATCGTATTCAAAGTACAATTTCTCTGTTGATACACCTTTACATTAACTGCGTTCGACTGAGTATCTAACAGACCTCTGCATGAATTGCAGGTGATTGAGTAGCTAACAGAATTTTACATCAATTGCAAATGATTGAACAGGTGGCCTGTAAATTATTCAACAAATGACTTCACAAAACGCATTTTTTTATCAACATGCTGTCGCTGTTTATAAATATTTTTTTTACAGATTTTTTACTCCGGGTTATTTGTATGATTGGAAAACATGACTCTGTCGTATTTACTGGGGCTGGCACGGTCCTCAATCAGCTCCCGCTAATGGCATGTTTTTCTGCGTGTTATTGGAGAGTTGGGTGTGTGCTGGGTGAACCATCGAAGTAGGTATTGGGATTTGATTCCCACTTAAGTGCCTTGATGCCGTTGAAGGGATCTTGATCCGGAACACGGAGATACTCCTCCTCTTTCTTGGTTCGAAGCAGAGTGCCGTCTGTTGTCAGCAGACGTTGGTAAGGTAGACAGGATAGAAAGGGGAAGGTGGAAAGGAGGGGAATGGAAGGAGAAAAATAAAGGTGACAGGAAGGTTTAGGGATAACAGGAAGAGGAAAGGTAAAGGTAATAACACGTATCCAACCATCAAAAACTGGGGAAAACAATATCTGTAACTAATAACAGTAAAAATAAAGGAGCAGCAGAAATTCTTGGAATCCACATTTCACAGCATTCGAGCCAAATAATGTGGCACTATCAAGGTCCGTTTCCTTATTTTCACTTTATTGATATTTTTTTTCCCTCTTATCAAGGGTCACATTCTAGCCTCGCCACATAACCGAACATTTTATGGGTTAACTGTTAGTGTTCCCGATCAACCTTTTGTTTCTGCTAATGCAATTCTATGGAGGGGAAAAAGGTCTTGCTAAATTCACTAGCAAAAGAAAAGGCACTCTTCTCAGAATAAGTTTTAATAGGGAAAATGTTTCGATCTGTGTTATCTAGTCATGACTTGATAATAGTCTCCACGGAGCGAAACGCTGTCGTAATAAATGTTTGTTCTATACAGTGTGCATTTTCTCCAACAGTGTACTTGCCACTTTGTACTCACTTACTGTACTCACATATATGTACTGTATGTTCGAATTCATATGCACTCAATATATGTACTAGGTTATGAGTACTCTCTTATATGTCCTCACTGGCATCTATGGTAGGTCTAACCAGCTGACGTAAAACAACCTATTTTATAAGTCATACTAACTGATTAAACTCTCGGTATATACACAGTGAGAGTCATACACCAGTCGAAGTATATATTTTTCTTTTAATACACTGTGCAGTGCTTCCTATACATCATAATGAGATCTATTATCAATTAATATTTATTCCAATATATCTGCTTTCTCCTACCGAAATTGTCCGATGTCTTAAAAATAAAACGATGCATTAAAAAATAAAGTAGGCACTTTAATAAATAATGGCATCTTGAAATAATAAAGAGGGTATCTTAAAAATAAAGAAGATGCCTAAAAAATAAAGAACGTATTTTAAAAAAAATAAAGAGGGTACCTTAAAAATATCAAATAAAATAAAGAGGGTACCTTAAAAATATCAAATGTACTTTAAAAATAAAGAAGATACATTAGAGAAATAAAAAAGGTACCTAAAAAATAAAGATACCTTAAAAATAAAAGCTATGTATATCGTGAATACCAGATGTTTCTAATTCCTTGAAGTGAAGAGTAAGGGAAAAAAAGAAGAGGTGAGCTCATCTTCAACATCTTCAAAACTAAATTTAATCCGAGGAAGGGGAAATACATCATAACACAGTGACATCATTATGTGATAGTGGCATCAAAATGAGACTGACATTATTAATGAATCAGTGACATTATTGCAAATTAGTGACATCATCACGGAATAATCATAAATACATTTTTGTGGGAACAATAATATAATGACATCCTTAGAATACAGTAACCACAGTTTAATATAGTGACATCATTAAGTATCAGTGACAGAAGCATGCAAAATGAGAAACAGTGAACATGGTGAGAGAGTCAGTCATGGGAGACACCATGAATATGGTGAGACAAAAATAAGTGATATCTACTTACCATTAAGTATAATGAGGATGAGGTATAGGAGACCTGTAGTGTGGATGAGCGGATGATGTGGACTCATCTCACCAGGCTTGTGTGTGTGGATGCCTGGATGCTGTGAACTCATCTCACCAGTGGTGTGTTTAGCCTGTGTTGGATCACTGCTTGTGTGTGCTGTGGTGGACTCATCTCACCAGGCTTGTGTGTGTTGATGCCTGGATGCTGTGAACTCATCTCACCAGGCTTGTGTGTGTGGATTCCTGGACGCTGTGAACTCATCTCACCAGGCTTGTGTGTGTGGATGCCTGGATGCTGTGGACTCATCTCACCAGGCTTGTGTGTGTGGATGCCTGGATGCTGTGAATTCATCAGACTCTCACTAACACCACAATGTTGCTCCGTAATCCTTCCCATTTCTGGGTTTTCCTCTCTCTTATAATCTCTAAAATTACCAGTGATTTTAAAACATTCCTGATTTTTTTCTGATGTGCAAATAGCTAGTTTGTTATTAATATTGCCATGTTTATTTTCATGTAACTTTTTCGAACTGTTTTCAAATTACAATCACAATTAATACGTCCCTTTCTCTACGTCTTTCAGCCTCTGTACATTAATTCGCACCATTATTGACATTTAATTTTGAATTCACTTACATTGCTTACTTTTTCACCACTTAAAATGTTATTTTATTATTCAGATTTCTATTAAATACGTACTATTTATCTACTTCTCATTTTCTTTTGTCATGTCTTCCACATTCTCACTAACAAAAATTGTTTTATTAACATCTGTGTGAGATTTTTAAATCTTAACCATCAACAATTTAACTTTTGACATATATGTTTGACTCTCATTGTTTACAAAGTTCCCAGAACTTTCAAATATTCATGCAATTTTTTTTCGGCATTTTCTCTTCTTGTTTCTTATTTCGTTATTCTCATTGTCTTTGTATCATTCTCTTTTTCAGTTCTGTCGGTGGATGGGGAAAAAATCGAAAATGTTATTTGTTCCTATCTTGTTCTCAGTCATTGTTACCTGTTATTTTACAAATATTTAAGATGATTCTAACAAAAATGAGAGTTGATACACTTGTTATATTGTATTTTTTTATCATTCAAAATAAGGGGGAAGTAATGATGTTTGTGAAGAGTGATTGATCCAAGAAACTTGTGTGTGTGTGTGTGTGTGTGTGTGTGTGTGTGTGTGTGGTGTGTGTGTGTGTGTGTGTGTTGTGTGTGTGTGTGGTGTGTGTGTTTGTGTTGCCACATCTCGTGTTTTTCTCTATTCATATGGCAAAATGAATCTATTTAAGGGAAGCTTCCTACGTATTTTGCACCGACAAATGAGTACATATAAAGCCAGGTGAGTAAATTCATAGCCAGAACAGTACATAAGTACCCGAGTACATACAAGAACCTGACAGTACATAATTTTAAATAATACTATACTTGAAATGTTGCATTTTTCCCTGGTTCCCTAATCAATGTCGATCGGGTAACTATGCCATTTTTCTAGCAACAAATCATCGTTGATTGGGCATTGCTGCCTTTTTTATGCCTCGTCCACAAAGAGATAATTTCCCCTTGTCAGCCACGGAGACCCACAACATAAATTAATTTGTAGCAAAAGTTTTTGGTCGTTGTACTGCATAATGATGAGGCTAAAGTTTTATTGTGAAATTTCTCTCTCTCTCTCTCTCTCTCTCTCTCTCTCTCTCTCTCTCTCTCTCTCTCCTCTCTCTCTCTCTCTCTCTCTCCTCTCTCTCTCTCTCTCTCTCTCTCTCTCTCTCTCTACGGTTAATCCAATCCACTCTCCACTTTCACTTTATATGAAGTGGTGGGGAGGGTAAATACAAAGCTACACAACTTCAAGAAGAGGTATGATCGTGCCCTAGAGGCCAGATATCAGCAGTTCAGAGGTCGGGACCAGAAGCTATGAATCAATTTACAACAAAACTCAGACACTCACACACACACACACACATAAACACACACACAACACACACACACACACACACACACACACACACACACACACACACACACACACACACACACACACACACACACACACACGTAAATTACAGTGAAAACAACACATCGTCTCTCCTTACAAGCAGCTGGTGAAAATACCCAACAATCGCTATAAATCACAGAAACTTTGCTCTTTCAGTGCCGAACCAGACAAGAGTTTACAAAGAGATATCGAACTGATCTGCATTGAAAAATTCTCAGTGACACAATGGGCCAACACAACGCCGAAATGTATAATGTCTTCACAAATACTGCTTCCACACACATTTATCATTAATCTGAGTCGAAAACATCGCCTGGATGCTTGTGATGTTTGTGTGTGTGTGTGTGTGTGTGTGTGTGTGTGTGTGTGTGTGTGTGTGTGTGTGTGTGTGCGTGTGTGTGTGTGTGTGGTGTGTGTGTGTGTGTGTGTGTGTGTGTGTGTGTACTCACCTAGTTGTACTCACCTAGTTGAGGTTGCGGGGGTCGAGTCCGAGCTCCTGGCCCCGCCTCTTCACTGATCGCTACTAGGTCACTCTCCCTGAGCCGTGAGCTTTATCATACCTCTGCTTAAAGCTATGTATGGATCCTGCCTCCACTACATCGCTTCCCAAACTATTCCACTTACTGACTACTCTGTGGCTGAAGAAATACTTCCTAAACATCCCTGTGATTCATCTGTGTCTCAGCTTCCAACTGTGTCCCCTTGTTACTGTGTCCAATCTCTGGAACATCCTGTCTTGTCCACCTTGTCAATTCCTCTCAGTATTTTGTATGTCCGTTATCATGTCCCCCCTATCTCTCTGTCCTCCAGTGTCGTCAGTGTGTGTGTGTGTTGTGTGTGTGTGGTGTGTGTGTGTGTGTGTGTGTGTGTGTGTGTGTGTGTGTGTGTGTGTTTGTGTGTGTGTGTGTGTGTTTGTGCGGGTGCGTATGTGTCTGTTCCGATTCGTTCATTTCATATAACATAATTGAATCTAGTTTAATTAAACACGAGAAGACAATTCTAGTTTACACAAACATGTTTAGATACGCTTCTTGCTAGTAACAATACTAATTTGCTTAATAATATTATGAATAACATTCACATTCATTGAGCTCCCAGTTATTTGTATTGTTTTCCCGGCAGTCATTGTTCACTGAAGTATATTTATTTTATCCATCAAACTCATATAAGGTATTTTTACCATGTTACAAATCTTTCTTTTTTTACTCGTATTATCAGCAGTCAGAAAAATTAACTTATTGGATTTATGAAGAACAGGAAAGTACAGTACCGCGACACACACACACAAGGTGGACAAAGACAGGATGTTCCAGAGATTGGACACAGTAACAAGGGGACACAGTTGGAAGTTGAAGACACAGATGAATCACAGGGATGTTAGGAAGTATATCTTCAGCCACAGAGTAGTCAGTAAGTGGAATAGTTTGGGAAGCGATGTAGTGGAGGCAGGATCCATACATAGCTTTAAGCAGAGGTATGATAAAGCTCACGGCTTAGGGAGAGTGACCTAGTAGCGATCAGTGAAGAGGCGGGGCCAGGAGCTCGGACTCGACCCCCGCAACCTCAACTAGGTGAGTACACACACACACACACACACACACACACACACACACACACACACACACACACCACACACACACACACACACACACACAAAACACACACACACACACACATGCTGCTTAGCTCCTCAAATTCCATGTTTTCCAAAGATGTTTTATATGTAAATCGCTGAACCGTCGTGAGTCAGTCAAAGCAAGATCTGCTGGGGGATCGATCCTCCATCCGCTAATCGCGACAGAAATGCCTACTGAGCCGAATTCACAGACCCTCTTTGACTTCCCCACGACCTTCTCCTTCCCCACGACCTTCTTTCCCACGACCTGCCTCATTTCTTCCACCTTCTCTCTCTACTCCCGCAGCTCCTTTTTTAGTACCTGCTTCTTTCCCCCATCCACTCCTTAAAAATTATTCCCCCTCCCTAGCCCCTTACTCCATGTACCCCTCTACGCCCTCTCCCTCCCATCAGCTTCCCCTGCTCCTCTACCCCTTCAGAAACCCCGATTTTCCTTTCCCCCAAACCCCACACACTATCCTTTCCCAACTCCAACCACACAATGACCATTCTCACCCCCTCAAACCAAACATTCATCATCCAGGGGGCAAGGTGAAAAAAATTGATTTAATGAGGACAAATTCCAACTACCCCGTTATGGAAAACGGGAGGAGATAAGCCCTAAAAACGAGTAACTACTGACTCGGGCCATACAATTAGAGCGGAAAAAAAATGCAAGGGCCCTGGGAGTAGTAATGTCTGGGGATCTAAATTTCAAGGATCACAACAGTGCCACGACGCACGGAAAAAAAATGAAAGGATGGATAATGGAGCGTTCAAAACGAGAGATGCCTAGCCATGAGATCCTTTTAAATACTTTTTTTCTCTGGGCGGGAATACTGCTGTACTTAACATTCCATTAAAAAGCAGGTGAAATGCAGATCTGGGATGTACAGAGATCCTTTACTGCACGTATAATTTTCTGTCAAGCACCTTAACTACTGGGAACGCTTGGAAAACACTTGACTTTACTCCTGGAACGCAGGATGGGAGTATATCATAATCTTCATTGGAAACCTGGAAGAAATGGGGCCCCAAATCTGCCCCACAGAAATCACTCCCTACGAAATAAAAGACTGGGCAGGCGATGCAAAATGCCCCAATAAAAGTAGGGGGCGCCATTGGTACACTAAGGAAAACACCTTTTAAATGTCCGGGGGCCCCCGACTGTTCAACAGCCTTCCATCAAGCATTGGAAATTGCCAAAAAAACCCCCGGCTGCCCTTTAAAGAGAGAGCTGGACAGAGCCTTTGTCAGTGCCGGGTCAGCCGGGGCCCCGTGGCTCGTACGTTGGGGTGCGGCGGCCAGCATAACAGCCAGTTTTATCAGGCTCTGATCCCTCGGGAGGCCTGGTCATGGGGCCGGGGCTGGGGGGGTTTTATCCCCCCAATAACCTCCATGTAACCCCCAGGTACCCCCCCCTTCCTCCCCCGAAAATCCCGACCCCCGCACATTGCCCTTCCCCCTCCCTCCCACATCCCCCACCAACCC